CATGTCATCTGCGTATAATGACAATTTTACTTCTTCCTTGCCTATGCGGATGCCTTTTATTTCCTTTTCCTGTCTGATTGCTATCACTGCCGGACTCTTTTGATTTCACCTTGTACATCTGGAGAAACAGAGGAAGAAGGTGATTAGGGTTTGCAGGATTTATACGGAATTGAGCAGCTATCTGCTGGAGAGACCAGCGTATGGTCAGAATTGTGGGTATGACCAGAGTTGTGCTGAGCTCTAGAGCACATGAGCACTGGCATCTCAACTACACTCATTCAAGCCAGGAGGCAGTTATTTTCCAGAAATGTGGAAGCCTGCAGCTCGGGAAGTGTGGGAGATGTAGGATGGACGGTCCAATAGCACTGGGTTCCAGGCCCACCCTTTCATGAACCAACTTGTGATCGTGGACAGTTAATATACTTTTTCTTGCACCTTCTTTTCTTCATCTATAAAATGAGGATAAGAATACCTCAGAGAGGTGCTGTGGGGATGAACATTCAACAATTCACCCATTCCACAAATATTTATTGAGACCTGCTGTTTACCACACACTCTTCCGAGGGCTGATGATGCAACAGTCTCTTAAGAAGCATGTACTCTAGTGAAGGGAGAGAGACAATAAATATGTCATGTGACAAGTGTGGTGAATGCTATGAAGAAAATTTGAGAGAGTCAGTGAAAGCAGAGAGAGTAAAGATTGGGGGTTGCTATTTGACATAAAGTGGTTAGTTAGGAAGGTCCCTCTGAGAAGATAACAGTGGAGCAGAGACCTATATAAAGTGAAGAAGCAAGCCATGCACCCATCGGGGTGGATTGTTCCAGGCAGAAATAGTTCCCATGTGGACACTGCATGGAGTGTTTGAGGAGGCCCCCAGTCACCAGTGAGGCAGGAGCACGGGGCTGGGGGGAGGTGACGGGGGTGATGGGTGAGACGTGTGGGGTGGAGCAGGGAGGTCAGGAAGAGCCAGTAGCCCATCACGAGGGCTTTGGGTTTGGCTCTAAATGAAGCCATATAAGGATTTTGAAAAGAGGAATGACAGATCTGCCTTCCATTTTAAAATAATTCCTCTGGTTGCTAAGCTGAAAATAGACTATAGGTGGCAAGGATGAACATATTAATAGGTAGAGTAAATAGAAGGTCATCTCAGTAATCTAGGTGTGAAATGGTGGTGGCTTGAACTAGAATGACCGAGGCAAAGGTGGTGAAAAGAGGTTATATTTTGAAGATAAACCAATAGGATTTGCTGGTGACTTAGATGTGGAGTAGGAGAGTAACAGAGGAGTAAAAGGTGAGCTCAAATGTTTGGCCAGGGCACCTCAATGCAGGAGCTGCCATTTGCCGAAATAGGGATGGCTCCAGTAGAAGTGAAGCCTGGAGGGAAATTAAGAGGTTTTTTTTGTTTTTGTTTTTGTTTTTTAGACATGTGAAATTTAAGCTGTCCATTAGATATCCAAATGGAAATGTCAAGTAGTCAGTTGAATCCCGGAGTCTGAGTTCAAGGAAGAGACGGGGGTGGAGATAAACATTGGAAGGTTGTCAGCATGGAAGTGAATGCTGAATGAGATCATCAAGGCATAGGCTATTGATGGAGCAGGAAAGGAGTGGACACCCTGACTTATAGAGGTGCAGGTGGTGAGGTGGAATGAACAGAGAAGGCTGATGACTGGCCCAGAAGGCAGGTGAAGGGAGTGAGTGGTCGATCACCTGCATCAAATACTGTTGGTAAGAGAAGGACCGAGAAGTGACCACGTTCTGGGCTTTAGTGGAGAGGAAGTGCCCAGGACAGCCTAGTTTAATTAAACAATAAGTTGAATTAAATTTATATCTCCCCCCACCACCCTGTTTTCATTTTCAGGTTTTGATGGCAGAAAAGCTCACCCAAATAAGCGCCTTCGCCAACCCTGGGTCCAGGAAGTCTTACTTGGAAGTATACTATCTAAATCACTCCTGCTTTAAATTCACTTAAGACAAACTCGAGCACTCCTGGTGAGGCTGGACCCACTCTCTTTAAAATCACATGACTTCTGAATTGGGACTCTATATGTATCATCTCTTTAAGAGAAACAGTAACTCAAAAGTGCAGTGCTATGTTGTCTATGAAGAAGGAAGGCGAGGAGGAGACTAGCGTTTGGAAGGGCTTACCGTGTTCTAGGCGTGATGCCTTCACATATGCTTATTTCTCCTTATATACATTTGTAGTATATAGGAAATGTCAAAATTTGAGTCTCCCCTACCATGATAGAAGTTACTTGGTTCTTTTGGCCAGTTCCATATCTAAATTGTAATGGATTAAATGGAGCCCAGCAAGTCTGCTCTGTGTCTGTGATTCTACAAATGCAAACTTAACATATTCTTAAGCCCCAGATAATTTTTATGGTGATGCTGACCAAGTTTTATTTTTATTAGTGAAGCTCATATTCAGAAAGTTGTTTAGCACTTTACAGTTTACAAAGTACCCTGTTATGAAAAAAGTATTGGAGCCTTAAAATAACTCTGTGATGTAGGTATATTAACTTGATACAACTTTCAAAAGTAAGTACCTATTACTCCCTCTTCTCCCTCTGAATCCTGTGCTGTGTTGCGTTGTGTCATTTCTTAGCTGCAGATGATATGCTAAACAATTCCTATATTTAAATAAATGCTGAGAAATTAGACCCTTTAGAGTTGGAACTAAAATGGCTTCTCCTACATACACCTAAGTTGTTTACTGGGTATGGGCTAAATTGCTATAATACTGGAGACAGGGAGGTGGGTGATAGGTTTGCGTGTGGAAAGACAGGATATGACTGGAGAAATAGAAGCTCAAGTCTAAACTGTGAGAGATTTCAGTGGTCACAGAAAAATGTACAGAAATGGTGGCAGACAGGCTCTTGCTTTAATCTAAAATGTGTTTTCAGCCTGGTATTGAAGAACTCTTGCAAATAGGTTGGTAAGGGTTGGAGCTGGTAAACATTTTAGCTTGCATATAGAATTTTCACTTTTTCTTTCCACATTGTAAGGAGATGCAGGCCAGTTCTTTGAGTATTCCTCCTGTGCCTTGCTTTCCATAGTTACCACACAGTTTTCTTTGCCTATGCTTTTTCTCTAAAATACCTTCAGCCTGGTAGAGTTACAGTTGACCCTTGAACAACATGGAGGTTAGAGGCAACTTGGCTAACCGGACTCTGCAAAAAGATAATTAAAGTTGTCCTTTGATATTCTTAGGGGATTGATTCCAGGATGTCCCCCCACCAACAGATATTGAAATCCTCAGATGCTCAAATCTCTGATATAAAATGGTGTAGGACAATGCATAGAGTCAGCAGTCTGCATCCTCAGATTCCCAACCATGGATCGAAAATACGGTTTTTGATCCACAATTGGCTGAATCTGCAGATGTAAAACTCAGGATACGGAGGGCCAACTATATATTTACTCAAAAAAATCCTCCTAAGTGGCCCCTCGCAGTTCAAACTCATGTAGTTCAAGGGTCAGTTGTACTTTGTCATATTCAACCTTGCAGGAATGAATGTTTAAATCATATGTTATCTTGCCTAGCATGGTGTAAGTTTTTTAATGGCTGGGTGATGCCTGATTCACCTTTGTTGCTTCTCAGAGCCTAGCTCAGTGCTTTGCACATGTAGGCATTCAAATATTTATCAAATAGACTTGAATTAGTGTTGGTAACTGTTGTGTTGGCTGAATTATTCAGTGATAAATATAAAAGGAAAATCTATAACAGCAATTAAAGGTATGCTCTTGTTGACTTCTTATTTATTTCAATTTATTACCTTAACTTGATATGTACTGTTTTGGACACTATTTTTATATTTGGCTATTTACCAATATACCTTAACAAAACTTACGTACAATAAGTTGCCTTATACTTTTCATCCAACTTTTTACAAAGAAGTTGTAGTATTTGTGGGTAGTGTGTGACTATAACCAATTCTTAATTCTTTCAAATTACCTTAAACATTTTTATTTGGTGACTTTAGGTATATTTACTTCTATCTCTTGATTTTAGTAGTGAGCCAAATGTCCTGGAAATTCCATGGCCTGAGTATAAACCATGACAGAAGGTGCTTATACATTTTGAAAACCCAGGATTACTCTTTACTTAACAAAAATCAGCCTTTAGGTTTTAAATGATAATCATTAAGTATGTGTATATGTTGACATTTTAATAGAAATTATCTGAAGTTTTGTTTTTTGTACATGATAGTACAGGGAAACCCAAACATGAGTGGTTTCTCCAGAAAGATTCCGAAGGGGACACATCTTCACTTATCAACTGGCCTTCCAGGTACATCCCAAGTGGAAGCTCTTGCTTTTGTTTCCTGAGTGCCCCTCCTCTCCCTGCTGCCTTGCCTCGCTGCTGTTTCACATATAGTCCAATGCTAACTCTCCTCTTCCTAAGGACAGTGCATTTGAAAGGCACATGTTCAAAAGGAGCTGCTGGACGTTAACCTCCTAATCATTTGCATTTCTCCTTCAATTGCACTAATCCCTTCTAATAGCATTTCTTCTTGCTCCTCTTTTTGAAAATCTTTTGACTGCACCTCCTTTTTTCTCCTCTCACCAACTCACATTCTGCCCGGGGAAGGGAGGGGGGGCAGTAGCGAGGACCTACCGGCTACCTCTGGGTGTCTCTCCTCTTGAGTCCTACCAACCAGCTAGGATCCCATGTCGTCAACACCCCCCCTTCACCAGGCACTTCCAGCCTCCTTGTTTTCATGCCTCCTCGTCTCTAAACCAATAGTTAACTTTCAACAGTTACATTGAGGGCCTGTGGTTTTAAAAGCAGACAAAAAAACCCCTATCATTTCATTTTGAAGGTTGGGGGCAGGGAGAGGCAGAAGGAGTAAGAATGAGTAAGTCATTGGCAGGACAAAGCACCCATATATTGAGTTTCTAACAGTCACTTTGTTCTCAGCTGAGACAACATTCAGATTGTCTCTGATTAGAAGGACACATTCCACAGGAGAACTTGAACCACATTGCAGTCTTCTTTTGATTAACAAAGCTTATAAGTATGAAAACTGGTTCTCTAGCACTGGCTAGTCTCTGAGAAAAATAACAACTCAGAATGCTTTTTTTCCCCCCTGAATTGTTCATAGTAACTGCCTTTCATGAGTGTCTCTGATTTTTCTTTAATGAAGCATACACAGATATCCTGCATCTTATGCTGAAAAACATGAATGTGTTTACTGTATTTTGCCGTGTATAACGCACACCTTTTTGCCCAAATTTGTGAGGGAAAAATAAGGGTGCGCATTATACAAGGGTAGTACTAATTCCATGTCTATATAAATGTTTTTAATTCTTTTATTTATGCTTATGAGTTAAAAGTGTAACTCTAGAAATCAGTAACGATATCCGTATGCAAAATAATACCCTGGAATCTGATCATGGGTTTTGTTGAACTTATGACGAACTTGCAACGACAAAGAGTTATTGGCCTTCTATGATGCGTAAATATCGTAAATTTGTTACTGGTACATAAAATTCCTTGTACCATAATATGTTAAAAAATAAATGCTAAAATTCATTTATAATACAAAAAACAAGTACCTGAATGTAAACAAAAATTTGAATTAAAAAATTAAAATGAAAGATTTTTTTCCCCTGAAAGTTTGGGCCAAAAAATGTAGGTGTGCATCATACACAGGAGCACATTGTACACAGCAAAAGACAATATATCAAGTTTAGCAAGGTGCATTTGTCATTTAAGGACATAATCTCTTCCAAAAAGTATATATCAGAAATAATTATTTTTGCTGACTAATCTTAGGTAAATAAAGGTTTTACATTCCTCAAGAAATCGCTTTTCCTACCTCAAAGGCATTCTTTATTTTTTTAAATTATCTCCAATTAGTAGTCCATTTTTAAACAGTTTCAGTGGTTTCTGCTTTCTCACTACATCACATTTCAAAAAGTAAAAATAAGAACTAGCTACCACTATTAAATGTTTACTCCTTATTAAGCACTAAACCATGTGCATTGCAGACATCACACTACACCTTGTCACTATTATTTACATTTTAAAGGTAAAGCAACTAAGGCAGGTAAGTTACCTGAGACCACACAGTTAGAATGGGCTGAGCCAGACTTTGAGCAGAGGTCTCCGAGGATCCACAGCCAGAGCTCTTACTTAGCTTCTGCCATAATAGAAAAATAGAAAAGAAGCTTTTAAAATGGATTTCACTTTTGCTCTCAGATATTGAAATAGCTCTAGAAACAACCAGAGCAATCTCTTTTTAGATTACTTTTTAACTAACGGCCTAATAGCAATTCCAGAGGAGAGAAAATGTTCAGTTTATTTTCAAAAAAAACTTCTAACATTCTTTTTGATGCTACAATTATTAGTAATAATGATGTCCAAACTGCTCACGTGTCTTCTGAATGAATGAATACAGTCTGCATTGCATGAAAAAGCTTGTGAATGTTTAGTTGAGTGCTTGGAAAGAGGCGATTGTTGTATCTTGAGCTCAATAAAAATAATAATCACAAATGCTCTTCCATTTTCAGGAGACGATGAAATTAACATTTGGTCAATAGGTGTATGTATGCCTGGAAACTACCCCCACGGTCCACATAGTAGGCCCGTACATGCAAAAACTTACCATTCACAGCACGAGCCTCAGTGTGCCCTCATGCATACTGGCGGTATATATTAAGAAATTTCTCTGTGTCTTCTGGGTATTCATTTAGTCAGAAGGCATCCATTCTCTCCTAAGACAGCATCGGACCCCTCTCAGCTTTACAGAGGGTAGAGTTAGTTTTGTACCACACCAGCCTACGAATGTACATTTGGAAACTCAACTAAAAATCATTCATCTTGCAAGCTGTGGTTTTCTGACATTAACCACAAAAAAATGCTTTTTCACAAGTTGTTCTCCCTTTGGGTTGATTTCCATTCACTGGTAATCTGTGACCTGCGCATGCTTCCTTACCGTTGAGCAGTTACTGCACATTGCAACTTAAATCCTTTTTCTTTCTTAAAGAGTTAAAGTTAGAGAAAAAATGGTGAAAGAGGAGAGTGCTCGCAGCAGCCCTGAACTTGCCTCCGAGTCCCTAGCTCAGAGGAGACATCAGCCAGTGCCGGTGCATTACCTGTCCTTTCAGTCAGAAAACTCAGCCTTTGATAGGGTCACGAGCAAGGCAGCCGGCTCTGCACGACAGCCGATCCGTGGCTATGTCCAGCCAGCAGATCCTGTCCACACTGCCATGCTGGTGACCTCAGAAACCCCGGAAAGCGTGTCTGAGTACAGCTGGGTGGAATCAGCCACCCAGAACGTCATAAAACCTCCCACCTTGAAGGCTCTCGAAGGTGAGGGAAGGGAGTCCCCCATTCTCCACATCTGTGAATCAAAAGCAGAGGAAGATGTGCCCTTTACTGAAGCGCTCGAGAAAAGCAGGAAATCACTCCTGGCTTTAGAGGATGGCAGGCTTGCGAGAAGCCAGGAAGACCCCTCTGCACATGAAGACTTTGGCAAGCCTGCGATCAGCACGGCCACCGTAGAACATAAAAAAGAACCGGCAAGTTTGTCGCACCCACCTCAAGCTCAGCCCCAGTTCTCTGAAAGAACGGGCAGAAGCGAAATGGTTTTGTATGTTCAGAGCGAGCCTGTGTCCCAAGATGCCAGAGTGACAGGACACAAAATAGAAGCACCTAGGAGAAAGCACAAGGTCCTCACCCGCTCCCTATCTGACTACACGGGCCCCCCTCAGCTCCAGGCCCTGAAGTGCAAGGACCCAACGGCAAAGGGAGAGCCGGAGCTACGGAGTCCCAGAGCTGAGGGGCCCCAGGCGGAAGTGAGCCTGCTGGACACCAAGGTCTCTGTCGCCCAGCTCCGAAATGCATTTCTGGAATCTGCCAGTGCCAGAAAGAAACCCGAACTGTAGGTGATGTTTCAAACGTCCTCCTGATGTGTCACTTGCACGTCCTTGGCAGAATTATTCACTTCTCAACTTGTGTTGTGTCCTGCCTTGAGTCATTTTTAAGCTTAGCTCACAAGTGTGCAGGGCAGACCGTACAGGAAATGGCTCCCAAACTAGCATTCTGCTTCCGCTTACTAATGGGGAGAGGATTGGGTCTCTGGAATGCTCCACCTCCTTTACATGCATGGTAGAGGCATGCAGGGGGATTTTGGTGGCGTCTGTGCCTGGACTCACTAAGATGCATAAACCTTTCCTTTATTCTCTCTCTCTGTCTCCCCGTTTCCCCGCTGTTATCCTCTCTCCTGATGGTTCTAAAAGTCAATCGCGGGTTGAGAGGTCAACCAAAGGAGTTGGCTTGCCTACCAGTGTGGAACGGGAGAGAGGGTCCCGGAAACCAAGACGCTATTTTTCTCCTGGTGAAAGTAGAAAAACTTCTGAGAGATTTAGAACTCAACCTATAACCTCAGCAGAACGAAAGGAATCGGATAGGTAGGCATGTGTATGTGTGGTTCCATAGTCCAGGAACTTAAAAGAGCTCCTACAGGATTTTCACCATAGTGATGGTCCTGATTCTATTTAAATGGGGTGTGGTGATTCCATAACTCTTCCATCTGATCGATAAGGGGTATTTATTTGGCTCGTATATATTCTTTTAAAGAATCTTGACGATGACACCAGTATCCCAACACACAGTTTCAAATTGTATTCAGACTGTAAGAAGTAAGAAACATTATTTTTCTTGATTTGTTTTTAATTTTCTATGCCCTTGTTTAATGAGAACCCAAATTGAGTATTCACCAGATTTTACAGTGAAAATAACTAAGGGATTTTATGTTCATTTGTCTGCTTACTTGTTGTAATTGAGTTTTATATTAGCACTTACTTATGCCTAGAAATGATCAGGTTTGTCTGAAAAATTATTATCACTTGTGTTTAATAAGTTGCACTTGATCCTGGTTTGTCTCCACAAGGTGTGCACTTGGCTGGGCTGTGTGCACACACACTCCACAGTGTCTGTTAGCTGTATGTGTGTATTCACAACTAGAATTGCTCTCAGGATGATATTCTTTACGACAGTTTAATTGCATTTTTGTTTTTACTTTTCATATGATATTTTATTTGGATCTTTTACTCCCACCAGCTAATTTTTTCTTATTATTTGCTAATATCTCTCCTAGGTCTACTTCGAATTCAGAAATGCCAACCGCTGAGGGCAAGTATCTGTTTTCCTTTTGCTGCTTCTTTATCATCTCACCGATTAGATTTAAAGAATAAGCTTTTGCTTTTTTGAGAGGATGAGATTATGGTGCCTATCATTTTTTTACTTTTCTGCACGTTTTCTCTCTGTGAATATAATAAAGCCTAGTTGAGGTTTTTCAGATGATCTTTCCCTTATTTTTGAGAGTGTTAAAGAATTGCAGAGTGAGCAGTATTAAAACAACTGATCCGAACCAAAGAAGCAGGTTTTTCTTGTTACTGCTGCTGTTTAACTATAAAGAGACATTCCTTACAAAAAAAACCCCAAAACAAAAAAAACCCTATTAAATCTCAATTCATCAAATAGTACAGTAGAAAATTACTGTGCAAACAGAGTTTGGGTTGGTTAATTTCAATGGAAATTAGCACCTTTTCACTGAGCAGAATGGGCTCCCCTCTCCACCAGGGGAAAATATTACCAATTGTAATTTTTAGTACATCTATTCTATGTTCAAAGGATTTCTGGGTCAGCTTTGGGAATCTTTTCAGAACCCTACCTACCTTTTCTTATGATGTTCAGTTTTTATTTTGTGGCTTTTTACAGATGAAGAAAAGGTAGATGAACGAGCCAAGCTGAGTGTTGCTGCCAAGAGGCTGCTTTTCAGGGTAAGATGTGCTAAGGTGTTTGAGTAGGAACTGTCACTGTATCCATTGCACCTGCCTGTGTCCTGCACCTGGGCCCTCTGTGGCCCACCTCACTCATTCTGGCGCACCTGTGATTCTCTCCACGTCCTTGGCTGGCGTGACCACCAGCCAACACAGCACAAATATTCACTTCTGATAATGATGGGTGCCTCTCAGGGTGCTCCCCTGGTGGAACCTGTAGGGGAACAGAGTAGGGGCATTTTGCTGTCTCCATTTCCTTTCCTCGAATTCATAAGGGCTCCACATTGTTTCTGATCTCAGGAAATGGAAAAGTCATTTGATGAGAAAAGTGCTCCAAAGCGACGCTCTAGAAATGCGGCCGTGGAGCAAAGGCTGCGGCGTCTGCAAGACAGATCCCACACCCAGCCCGTCACCACTGAGGAGGTGGTCATCGCAGCCACGTGAGTCTCCCTTGTGACCTCTGGGCCTTGGTTGTAATGTCTTCTTTTTTAAAAAAAAAAAGAGATTTACAATAGGTAACACATCCCATTACAAGGTTCAGAGAAACTTTGAACATAGAAAAACATGAAGAGGGATTTTGTTTAATTTTTTTGTCTCTGCGTTTTGTTTTTTTTATCTCGTTTACAATGGGACATTTATAACGTGAGAGTAGATGGATGAATGTAATGGAGCCCATGTACTTATCACCCAGTGTCAACAATCCTCAGCTCCCGCTCTATCTGTGTCCCCACCCACTTCCCCTTTCCTCCTGGGTTTTTCCAAGCAGACCTCAGATAGCATTTCTCCCATTAACAGATCTCTAAAAGTGAAGGTTTCTTTTTATTTGTTTTAAAATAATCAAAAAATTTAAAAATTAATTGGAAGCCCGATAGCTTCCCAAATGATGGGAAGTAGTTTTTGAGCTGTATGTTCTAATATGTTCAGAATGGATTTCCCAAAATATTTCACTCATTCAGGGATAATTGCTTCCATCAAGTGAAAACTTTTATTAGTTTTTTAAAAATTATTTTTGTGCTTCCTCTGGGTGGACAGACAGACAGACAGACAGACAGACAGACACACACACACACACCCTGAAAAACTCAATGTATCTTACTCAGGGTATTAACATCCCAGGAGACTTCTGTGTCACAGCCCACACCTGTGAACCCGCTGTTTGATCAGCTAGCTGCCTTCACTTCCTTCCTCAGCTATTCCTCAACTTCTCGGTGTATTTATGGAAAAGTACGTCTTGTACCCATTAGGAACTCTTAGCAAAGCAGTTTTTGTGTTGTTGTTTTTTTTAATTTTAATTTTTTAAAAATTATTTGAATGGTTGTTGTAGAACTTGAAGCAACTACCCATGGGAGCAAAGCAGTAAATATAAGGAAAAATTATCACTGTGTGAGGCTTGTTGAATCTACTTTGATATAATCTATTTGCCTATAGATTATACGAGGACACTTATTGTTTTAAAAAGTAGATTGACAACAACATTCTAAAACACAGGTATAATCTACTGATTTGCTGGTGGTTGATATTAGCTTTCTTTTATTTATTTTTTTTAAACCGGAACATTTCTTCTAAAGATGGGGTCAATCCTTTCCAAGCTCTAAACACCTATTCTTATTCCATTTACTTTGAGTAACCTCTGTCCCTTATTTGCTAAGTTTGTCATTGCTTTTCGAGTTCTTTTGTACTTTCCCAAAGTAATGAGCAAATAATTGTGTTAAAATATTTGATTTCTCGTTTCTGAATTGAAAACTATGCTTTCCTTAATGCTTCTTTTCTTTTCTCTCCTTATGAATATTCCTTCCTTGGCAATTGCTTTAAAGTGAACCTCTCCCTGCTTCGTGCTCTGTGGCCACCCACCCTGTAATGGCAAGACTTCCTAGTCCCACTGTAGCTAAGAGCACTGTGCAGCCTGCCAGGTACTGGACAGCAATAGCAGCATGTGGCCCCAAGGGCAAAGGGGCTAGCCAACAGATGCATCTCAAAACCTGGAATGCCTTTCACTTGTTTGACAAACAAGTCAGTGCCATGAGTTGCTCCAAGAATGTGTGGCATTTTGTTTTGTCATGCAAGACACTGATACCTTCATGTAGGCCTGCATGAGAAAACAGTTCATCTACCTGTTTCCATGATGTATTGGAACTAGGATCCCACTAATTCACTTACCCATTTGTTTTCTTTCGGTTTTTCATAATCATAGCCATCCCTAAGAAATGTCATTCTTCAATCTAAAATACTGGCACTTCATAAAGATTAATAGAAAAATGGGAGTTAATGTGAATGTTGAAATCCTAGTAGTACCCAGTTTTGTTTTTTTTTATGTTGTTGTTGTTTTGTTTGTTTTTTCTTGGTTAAAAACACATGTGGACACAAATATGTGTTAAAACAATCCTGCCTGTTTCTAATGTATATAGACAGTGCCACTATATTTGAGGGCTGGGATATGAAGAATTTATAGTGTCTGAACTTAGATGTTTTATTATTATCTTTGAAAATTATGTCCTTAGGGCATGTGGACTAGTCCCTCTATTTTACTGTTATGGGCCAAAACACAAAGGCTAAAAATAAGACGAAAAGAAGTAAAATGATAGTGCAGAAATAAAGCTGGCACCACGCAAAAGCTGGGACCTCTCCAGGGAAGGAGGTTGAGGTTGCCCTCCAGTTCTCCACTTGACCTCAGGAAAGACGCCGAGACTCAGTCTCAGGGTGCTTTCATTGCTACTCTCATTATACCCTGGAACACTGACACTGCTCTTTTGTCTGGGACAACTTGTGAAGTGGTGATTAATTGGAGTCAAGGCAAAATATACTGTTGACTGTATTTGAGAATTGGATTTGCCAGTGACAGAGGGGCCTTGTCTTAAACTTTTGAGGATTCACTGTGGCCATGTAACCGGAAGCCTTCTGCTCTGCCTGGGAGCCGGAGGGACTTACCACTGCCTGAAATTTCCTTCGCTTTTCAAGTTACTGGGAATTACAGATTTAAGTACCTTGAAGAAAACTGGTAGAAACCTATGAGAGGAAGTGCTAGAGTGAAGGAGTGAAAGAAAAATCTCTGAAAGTAAACCGTTTGTGTTTAGCGATTGAAAATTAAAACTCTGTTGTGGATAATGTTGTTGGCACAATGATTATCCTATTTCCCAGTTATTTAAAATGAAAAGGGCACCCTCTGAACCACAAAGATTATGTCTAAATATGCTGTAGGTGATACCTTAAGACTCCCTTTAGCCTGATGAATTAGTGATACTAACAATACAACTTCTCTCCCTAAAATAAGGTATGCCCAAGCTGACTTCAGTTCCTTAAACCAGAAATGCAATGTTTAGGGCTAATTCAGAGCTAAAAATCTGCTCTTTGTGAAACTGACAATGCTTGTGTTGCCAGCCTCTTCTGCTGTGCATTGTCATGTTTAAAAGCCAAACGAGTGCCTGCACCTGTCTTAAACTTATGTAGGCAAAAATAAGCCCTTTTCAAAACTGACACCTGGAAGAAAGTTAATGCATAAAATTAGCAGTGAGCTTCTGTTTGCTTTTATCTGTGTTACCGACTTTTTCTCCCATTCAGATTACAGGCGTCTGCTCACCAAAAGGCTCTAGCCAGAGACCAGGCGAACGAGGGCAAAGATTCTGCTGAACAAGGTGAACCTGATTCCTCCACTCTAAGCTTAGCTGAGAAGTTGGCCTTGTTTAACAAATTGTCCCAGCCAGTCTCAAAAGCTATTTCTACCCGAAACAGAATAGACATGAGACAGAGGAGAATGAATGCTCGCTATCAGACTCAGCCCGTCACGCTTGGAGAGGTGGAGCAGGTGGGTACGCTGTGATCGAATTCCAGTTTGCGAGGTACATTCTTAAACTATAGGAGCACCCTGTGATCTCAGGTTAATGATGTAATTAAAGTGATCTACCTGTAAACTGTGTTACCTGTAGATAATTTGGTAATAATTTCATTCCTAAGAAAGTCACCATGCCAAGTATGTTTTCTTTTTTCTTTTTTTTTAAATCTTTTTTTTTTTGCTTGCTTTCATAATTTGCTTGTTGCAATTGTCTGGAGTGAGTTCATGCCAGAGAGAACACTAGAATGTACAATCTGCTTTTCACTCAGATGATTTTGACTAACGAGATGCCGTGTATAACTGTGTCTAGGATTCATCTCCCACTAAGATAAGCAGTAAAACTGCGCCAAATGTAGTATTGCAGTCTAGGTCAATCCATACACCGGGATTTACATAGACGATGTTTTTCAATCAGCTTTTTCCTTTGTCACTGTGTCCTCCCAGGTGCAAAGTGGAAAACTTCTTCCATTCTCACCCACTGTTAACACGTCTGTGTCCACAATGGCATCTACGGCCATTCCAATGTACGCAGGGGATCTTCGGACAAAGCCATCTGTGGATGACAACACAAGTGCCACTGACTATAAGTTTCCTTCTTCGATAGAAAATTTGGACTCTCCAGTGAGAAGCATTCTGAAGCCCCAGGCCTGGCAACCTTCAGTAGAGGGCAGTGGAAGCAAAGGCACGTTGAGAGAACTGGGAGAGGCAGAAAGCAAGAGAGTTTTGACATGTAGAGACGGTGGTGTTCAAAAGTACGAGTCCTTTGAGGAAGCAGAGCCATCCTACCCCATCCTTCCCCGAGTCCAGGAAGGAGATAGCCATAAGGAACCCAAATATGCTGTTCCGAGGAAGGGAAGCCTGGAGCTAGCTAGTCTTCCCATCGCCCCTCTTGGTGATGAGCTGAAGGAATTTTCCACTGCTGAAAGCGCTGCACCGGGGAACGCTGACGTGAAGGACAGGCAGCCCTTTGAAGAGAAGGTGGACATGGAGAATGTCACCAAGAGGAAGTTTTCGCTGAGAGGTCAGTTGCTACTGCTCCTAAAGTTTTAGTAAGCAACTGGGTTTTTAGTTTCTGCTTGATTGCTTGCATGTGGTTTTTTTTTCTAACTCCATGATGAAGGCAGTTGATAACTAGCGTTGACTATAAGTTTAGTGTGAGTTATACTCCCCTGCAGATTTTTCTTCCATTTGAATCTGACATGTTCGGTGCATTATCAATTTTTCAGCAATAAAAATACTTCCAGCTCTTCCACAAATCTTGATAAGGGTGTTGGATGATTTTGGTCACATTCACTCCCGACAGCCTTGGGAACTGCTAGCTCTGTTAGCCCCTTTTTTAACTGGATAACCCCACATGTCCAGGGCCAGCTAAGCACAGGGAGGCAGGGCTTGAACCCAGGTCTGTGGATTTCTGGGCTCTCCTCATTCCTCTTGTGCAAACTAGCAAGCTATACTGCATGGGACTTTCCTTCTCTTCTTACATTTACACAAAATGATAGTGTGTACGTTATAATAGTGGTTTAGCTTGCAAATGTGGCATATTGGAAATGTGAAAGGATTGTTTTGGAGGAGTAGAAACATTCCGTAGTATGTAGTTAAAGCTCACTTCCTGTGTCTTGCACACAGGAAAAGACCAATTGTCACAAAACGATTTGCTGTGTGGAGTGACCCACTGGGAAGTTTGGTTTTCTCACAGAATATAGCGTGCCACAGATTTGCATAAATCCCAGTGGATTGGGTAACCGGCTGCGTGCCCACAGATTGAACTCCAAGTGTGGGACTGTTGGGGGGTGAATCGCTGGAAGAATGTTTGCCTGGAGAAGTAAGTGCTGACGTCGCTCCTTTCCTTCCCAGCAGCCGAGTTCGGGGAGCCCACTTTTGATCAGACCGGCACAACTGCTGGGAAAACTGTTGCTCAGACTGCAGCCCCAGTGGCCTGGAGGCAGCAAGAGCCTTCCGAACAACCACAGGAGAAGTACCATAAGAACCCATGTGCAATGTTTGCTGCTGGAGAGATCAAAGCGCCAGCGGTGGAGGGTGTCCTTGATTCACCCAGCAAAACCATGTCAATTAAAGAAAGGTAACCAGGTTTAATGATTGCCAAGTAATTCTATTAGGGAGGAAGTTACTGCTTGCTTTTAGAAAAAAGAGCTGAGTAATGGGCAAAGAGATGAAAAAGCGAGTCCAGCTATGTAAGGGGGTGTGCTGTTACACTAGAATTCTTTGGGGAAGGGGAGGTATTTGAGTTAACTGCATTGACCCCAGGGCCTGGCTTGGTAACGCTGAAGAGTGCAAATTCCAGACACCGAGGAGGAAACCAACAGAAACAGACATTTCCTTGCTTTATTTGTTTGCAGTTTTTTTTTGTTTTTTTTTTTTAAAACCTTTGTCTAGTGATAGGAGCAGAGACCTTGGCTCTTTCTCTTTCAGATAACACATGGCTTCAAATCGAATGCACCCACTTCTTGTCGCCATCTATCTATGTTAAGTATATGTAGAAGGAATGAAAATAAATTAATGTTTAGGATCTAAATCCTTGGGATCGGAATCAAAATATTGTTTATTTTACAGAAAGTAAAATGAGTGACTTTTCCATATCAGATAATAGCTATGAAAGATTACATTTGAGTACACTGTAACATCATTTCATTCAAAAGAATGACAGAGGATTGAGAGGATATATTGAATTGGGGAAAATGCAAAGAATGGGAGCTAAATATTTCAAGTTGTAATTTTTTGTTTGTTTGTTTGTTTGTTTTTTTGGTTAACCTTTAGCCACCATTGAATTAAGCAGCAAAATGTGTAATAGTGACAGGAACACTGTGTGAAGCAAGGTCTCATGAATTTCCCGGTGTGATGAGCAGAACTACTTCCGCCGGTTCCTACAGTTCTGCCCACCTGAACACTTCCTTAGCACCCCCCACCGTTTAGAAGTCTTGCTCTGTCAGACTCTGGCCACTCTTATTCTTCTAGCTAGATTTAAATCTACCTAAGACGGTAAATCACAGCACGATGAAAATTCTTCATCTGTTTTTCAAGCTGAGTTTTTGAACCATACTCATAAGATAGTAACCAGGTGGAGCCTTTTTCAACTAATGAATTAGGTTGTTAAGTCGTATTTTCTTTCATCTTTATCATCTAAAATTCACAATAAATTAGACCTACCAGACAAAGGAGGCATAGATGAAGGGCTAAGGGTGTAAGCTAAATAAGAGGAGTGGTGTCTTGAATCAGAGAAGCTGTTCGGCCTAGTCTGGCCTGAAGGCCTCCACTGCGGAAACCTGGCTCAGAGAGAGTTTGATCCTAGATATCCAACTATTGATAAGCAGTTGGGTAAGAAGGAAGTGATACCATTTAAGGGAATTAATGAGAAATATCACTTATACACAAGTTCTGATATATTTACATATCAGAAAATATTTCTAGGGTAAAACCCAATGGAAACATACTGGTACACCCCTTCTTTCAAAGCCTCTTAAAGGAGACGCCCCATCTTTGGGTATAATCTATTTGTTGGGACTTAGGACTTTTGATGAAGTTTTGTCTAGCCACGGTGTAATAATTATTGATTTATTTAACAGTTTTAGTAAATTTTAGTATATCTGTATCTTTCAGAAAGCAGTTTTCATCCTACTGTAAAATTCTCATTTTGGAAAATATGGGATGCCCTAAAGGTGCAGCTTCTTAACCCAGGCTTTATGGACATCTGAGGAGTTCAAGGATGGCTGTCAGGTTTCTGGGAACTAACTGCCTGGAAGTGTGTTCAAAGCCGACTGTGTGTATTGCACCTTTGGCTAGTGGGAGACAGAACTTCTCACAGTCTCCAAGAGTGACCCCAAACTGTTCATAACCATGATAGTAAGGAATGCTTGTTAAATATTCAGCTATTCATTTAATTGTTAAGTATACAGGCATACCTTAGCTATGTTGAGGGTTTGGTTCCAGACCACGGCAATAAAGTGAGCTATCGCAGTAAAGTGAGGATCTCAATACGGCGAGTATCACAATAAAGCGAATTGTAATCTTTTTGCTGTTGAAGGGTTTTGCCTTCAATGTGTAGAAAGTGCAGCATCTGTGAAGTACAATAAAGCAAAGCACAATGAAACAAGGTATGCCTCTATGTTTAAAAAAAGGACGAGGGACACTTTCTTTAGCAGCTGTGTTTATAATAAGTTATGTTCCTACAAAATATATTGCCAGTGATCTTACCCCCTTATCTTGATGGTACTTTTTTTTTTAAA